CTTGGATCACAAAGCAAATTTTCTAAATGTTCTTCCAATTGTTCTTGAACTTCTTTAAATGGTTTTTTATGACTATGAAGAAGATTTTTTAAAGTAATAAGGATAGATCCAGGATCAGTTTGAACCGATGCTCGTTTGGGAGGACGAACCAAACTGTACACAGTCATCAGTCTGTACAGGTATAAGAACTGTACTGTTGTGGGATGAGAATTGCTTCTACTTCCTTGTCTTATCATTCCAAATAAACGCTAATTGAAAAGAAAACATAAGAGTTTAATACAATATTATAATCATTACACTAAGTCAGTTTTACCTCTAATGTGTCCTGATTAAAGTGAGCTGTCAGGATATAATATGAGTTTGGAAGCAATTGTTTGATGAGTGCTAAAATACTAGTCAGCGTCAAGCGTAGATTTTCTGCTGTCTGGTGGCTTAAAAATCCCTTTTGATCAGTGCTTCTAATCTGTAATCTGAATGCTTCCCATCTATTTAACCATTCTAGAGATTCTTCAATAACCTATTTTAAAAAAGTTGTTAATTAAAACATTTATAGTTTTTCCTTGTGAATCATTACTATTATCTTGAGATCATTTGAATCATGTCTGATTCCTTCCTGTGGCAATCTACGATTTAAAGCATCAAACAGAGCATTGATGTGACGTATGAAACTTATTGTAACATCTGCATTTTTTAGGATAGCAATTTCACGCTGTTTATAAAACAGCATAGCATCAGCAAAAGTATTACTAAATATCTATAAATGAGACAAATAAAAGTATTCTTATCAAGTCGAGATTATATAAGTAAAAAAATGTGTTACTTGAGCTTCCAGCAATACACTCATTCTCTGGAAGTTATTGGGATTAACATGTATTTCTGTCACTTTGGGACATGCTTTTAATCCCTTTGGTAATTTGAAATCTTCATCAAGAACTGCTTTAAAATGTTGCAATTCTACCCTTCCTTTAGGAAACTAAAAGTAAAAATGCAGAATAATGCAATGGCTTATATTATAAATTAGGTGAAAACACTATTTTCTTAGTTTTACCTAAAAGTATCTACTTTTCAAAAGATTGTTTCGCATACATTTTAAAATATGTGGTATATCAATAATAGCCAGTACTTGTCTATCTGCAGCAGGGTTTGTAAATGAGCATTGTATATTATTTGTGTCTGCACAAATTCCTAGAGCTTTTAAAGCTGCTTTGTTTGTTCTGGCACCACCACAAACTATTGCATTGACTATTGCACCACACTGTTCTAAATGAATAATTGCTTGCAAAATAAGTTTTGCAACAGTAGAACCTGAGACAGAGCTTTTTGAACAGAATGTGCCAATACATTGTACCCAACTAGCAAAGTGAGGTCTGAACATAAACACTAGGCCATGATCACCTGCTGTAATTCGCTATGTAGCAATACAGAATTGTCACTGCAATCAACAAGTCCAATCATTTCACCAATAGCTTTTGAAAGTTCTATATGTTTTTTGAAGTGTGATTTCATCAAAAACTCCCTGGCATTCTGTTTGTGGAATAGTCTCCAATTTTGTCTTTAAAATAACAAAAAGATCTTCATCAAATCCAAATTTGGCATTAATGCCTCTGATATATTGATGCAGTGTAGACTGACAGGGTAAAGGCAAGTAATCATTATTTCTCAAAAATTCATAGAGAGATGGTGACCTAATTTTTAAAAGTAAACAGTCAAGTAACCAATTAATGTCATATCTCATACCCTTTTTGCTTTTTATATGGCATGCTTTCAGC